CAATTTCATACATATTTTCTCATTAAACAAATAACCACAATCTCATTTCTTCTCCCAGTTGATTTACTGGGTGCATCCTTCCTACAGATAACAAATTTCTGCTTAATACTGAAAGTGTGCAAAGCCTTTCTCTAAAATGAGACTTTCCCACTGAAGTTCTTGTGGGCTGCCTATTTCAAACAAAATAAGGAAAAATAAGGTTTTGTTCGGAGGCTTTTCTGTGGGATTCAATATTGGGGGGGTTGAAGAATTTTGATTTGTCTTCAAATAAAATGATAGGGAACTGTTTGTCCTCTGAACTTTGTCATTCATTTCAACCGGATCCGAATTCCACAGAGAAACTGAACTGTGAAATCCGTATTTGAGCACACCAGAATTCCCAATCACTTTTTAGTACTGCTCCCTTCATGTAAAACAATCTCGTCCCATCCCTTCTTCTCAAGCACGTTTGGTTTTAATGCTATTTTTAACTAACAATGGCAAACAAGCTGAAGAGATGTATTAAATCATCAATACCATTTTTCTCCCTTCCTCCAAAGCCGATTCCAGTTGTCTGGTTAATCCATTATATTCTGCAATTTTCTCTTCAAGCTGCAATTGACTGCACTGCAGACTCTCATCTTCCTTTTGGAGCTGACAAGCAAGTTCTTTATGTTCAATCTCCATCTTTTCTAATTGCCTTTATGCAGAACAGATCAATGCATTGTAATTCACTACAGCAGACACATGTAGGAATTAACTGCAGTCAGATTTTTAAGCAGTTACCTTTTAAGATCTTCATATTTCTCCTCAATGTTACAGTTTTCCTCTTCTGAGGAATGACTGCCCACACAAGTTGCACTGCATTCCTCCTGTGAAAGTGACAATTCATTTTCAGTTGGAGACCGATACACAGGGTGTTGCTGAGTACAATAAACTTGCCTGCTAAACTCCAACTGAGGAATTCAGCTGTAATTCCAAGTACACACTATGTTATATTTGAGTAAAGATGATATTGTATTTAAAACAAATAAAATGCCCCCAAAGTAGCAGACTAAAACTTTATGTGAACAATGTAAGGCTGAAACCCTGCTATGTAACAAAGGGACACCTGAACAAAACCCACATGCTGCTCATGTAGCCTTGTGTATGAGGAGCTCGGCCACCTCCTTCCTTGTGAACTTTGACTCTTCAGCTTTAGGTTCCAGCAAAAATCAGTTCCCTCACACTACAGTCATAGGAAGCATAAAACTAATAGTGCGTATTTATATACAGTGTAGGACTGGCAAAGAATGTCAGAATGTGCTGAGTATCAGAAAAGACGACAGTGAGGTTCATCTCACAAGTTGAAGAAAGCAAGAAGTCAAACTGTGTTCCCTTGCCCAGCATCCAGACTGACAAACTTTGACATGTTTCCTTTTAAATCTCATTAACAGCAGCAATGGCTGCTCTTGCTAGCACACAGCAACAGAAAATGAGCAACAAACTGCCACATCAACAGCCTGCTGGCACCTCCATCATTCACTGGAATGCCATCAGCAGGTCCATCCAGTAATCTGAGCTCATCTGTCTGATTTTGTCCATGTGAATCACAGGCTGTTAAACCAGCAGACTAGGAGTAGCAAAAATGTGCAGCAGAGGGGTAGGAAATTGATGTCCTGGTTTAGCTGAACCTGGAAGAGGTTTTCTGCACAGGGTCCTGTTACTTCAAAAGGAGTCTTGCTAAATTCTGGTCACAGGATCATGGGTCAGAAATCTCTGAAGGGCATCACCAAGATGTAATGCTGAAATTTAACTACTCTTCCATCAGACTAGTGATCATATTCCCAAATCCTTACCTATACTTAATAGTAACTTTTTTGCATCTATTCAGGAAAACATGTAGTTAGATTAAACTTACATATATCATTTTATATATACACCTCACAATTAACTGCTGCTTAAGTGTTTTGCTAAGCAAAGATGGATTTATGAGCTTATGAGCATTCCTGGAAAAAGTATTTAAAATGATGCAAACAAGAACTCAATCTGATGCTGTGAACATCATCTTGACAAGAAATCTAAAACAAGATCAAAAGCTGACTTCTTTTATAAGCATATAAAGTCTATGGGGACACAGATCCTCACTGCACTTCAGCTGGAGTTTTCCCACTGACACAGCAAGAAGATGAAGTCCCACCCTACTGATTCAAACACCTTTGTCATTCATGCTGGAAGAGTATTCCCCAAATTCAGCCCTGCCATTGAAACCAATGTCACAGAAAAAAAGCTGAGGAATATTCATATTGGGGCTTAAGAGCAAACACAAGCAGTAGTGCTGACATACTGCTAAAATAGACATGATCCTATTAAAGCATACTTTATAACATATTTTATCAAGCAACACAATGTAATCATTAAAATGTTAAAGTTATCCATCATCAGCAATGTAATTTATGACTGTTTGTCTGAGAAAATATTGTCTGGTTTATAAATTAGTCATTAAAACCAAAATGACCGTGGAATTAAATTATTCCACCAGATACAAACATTAACTAGGCTTGAACATTTCTTTCCAGGGAAGAATTCTGCAACACATCTCAAGCCATAAGTATTCAAGAGGATCAAGAATATACACACTGAAAAGATAACAGAATCTATGTAAATATTTCTTGAAGTAATAAGGTAGAAAGTTTGAAAATTGAAATAGGAGAAAATGCATCGGCAAATACAACAAACCTTTGAATATTCTTTGAGGTAAGATTTGTAACTTTATTGTTAGTTTAAACAAGCCACTGAAACCATTAATATTTACAGGTAAATGGGTGCACTGAGAAAGGCACTCAGAGCAGTGCTAGGACATATTCTGGAAGCTATTGATGCATTACCCAATTAATTACCATTACTCAATAAATGGCTTTAAATGGACAGAGGGTACGTTTAGATCAGACACTAGTCAGTTCTTCCCTGTGAGGGTGATGAGGTGCTGGCACAGGGTGCCCAGAGAAGCTGTGTCTGCCCCATCCTCTCAAACATAGACTATAGGAGTGTGATTATTTGTATCTGGATCAATACTGTGCAATTAGAAGACTATGTGATTGACTCTTGAATCTGCTGCTGACAAAAGCCTGCTCGTTCCTGTGTATTACAAGGTTCTGAAACTGAGCAGCAATCACTTTTAACCTGCAAAATGCATTACAGAACCAAGAAGGAATCCAGCACAGCTGTTTATTCTCACTTACTTCATACAGAAACTCCTTCTCCTGAGTTGCCACATAACTAGTGATCCAAGTTAAGCTTGTAATCACATTCTTATCGCTACATGCCTTTCAGCAGCAGCCCTCTCACAGCAAAGAGCTGAGTCTGCTAGAAATAGATTAGCTAAGCTGTTTGCTGCCATATCTAGAATATATATGATACATACACTGAGAAACCTGGGCTAGTAATTTTGTTGTCTGTAATGCTGGTAGGGCTGGCAAAAGACAAGCAGAACAATATCAGCCTATATTCACTCATGTGAAGAATAATGTGGTTTTAAACAGTGCTATAAAATGAAAGCAGCTTATTCCAGTATGCAGTGTTGCATGTTCATTAGTGTAAGCAGACAACATGAATGCTATGCTCTCTCACAGGGCACTGTGCAAATGTTTTTATCTACTTTAAATAGCTGCGTACCTTTTCCTGCCACAGATGACAGGGAGCAAAGCAGAGCAGGGGAATCAGGAGCATCATTAGGAACACATTACAGAAACCTGCTTAGAAGATAAGCAGGAATTTAGGTGCACAGGAAAAGCCTTCCCTTCCTTACACTGCTTCCCGGGGTAGCACAGTGCTGAAGCAGCCACACGTGTCCTAGATAGGATCTAGTCTTTCTTCCTAGTGACAATACTGTTATTCAACAACTCCTTCTGCCCACCCTGATGCTCTCAGGAAGCTGTATCTGTGCATACATAACGCATTTGCGTGGGCTCAGTGCACTGGCCCAAGGGACAATACTGCAGGAAGTTTGCAATAAGAAAAGCTCCTTTCTCTGTTGGCTCCACAAAGAGCAAAAACCCTGTTTGCAATGGGATCTGCGAGCCCTGTGACACCAGTGGTTGGATGGTAACACACTGCAGCTTGGGAACAGAAGTGCTTCAGGTCTCCAGAACTCCTGCAGCAGTGGCTTACTCTCATGCCTTTTAAGACACTTGTTTGCATTCCTGTGGGTGTTGGTTCTTTCTGTCTAAGAATATTCATATCCATACTCAGAAGACCACAGAATCTCTGAGCTGGGGAAGCATGATTTATAACATCACCCTATGTAGCTCGTGACAATTAACTCCGGCTATATTTTAGCAAAGGTGACACTGTAAGCCTTCAGGCTTTCCTTTCCTGAGAGCTCTTTGCTAAGCTTGGCACAAATGAAGCTGAGGAAGCAGAACAGCAATGGGAAGGGAAGTAGTGATGACAACTTTGGAATGTTTTGAATTTACTTCCATAAGCTCTATGATTGCTCTTATAAAATTCCTCCTCCTTACAAGCCTTATGCATTAACAGAAAGTTCATTAAGCAGCTATTGCACAATATCAAGTAAAGGCGTTTTGGAGCAGAACTGTGGTGTTTTGTTTTCTTCCGTCTTTATAGAAGGGGAATTGAAGAATAAAAAAAACTGCTGTCAACCACACTCAAGTTCACAGGAGTCTTAATCCACACAAAGAAGGGATCTATAATACAACACTGGTGAAAAACATAAAATTCAAGTCTGTCAAAAGTGGTAGATTGGGATATTAATTTTACCTGATGTTATTTCTTCTTGTAATGCAGTGAATATCTTCTTTTAAGACACATATAAAGCTTGGAGATATGCAGTCAGCTAGTATAAACTACAAAATGCATCTCCCCCCCCCCCCCTTTGCTCTGATTTGGTTTAGCAGCAGGAAATCCCAACATCAGTTGCAGCTTGCCTACATTGCTGGCACAAGAGAAGTTTCTTACATGTGTTTTTAATTTGGTTCTGGAATAAATATTGTGCTTCATTTAAAACAAAAGAAGCCAAAGTCTGATTTTGCCAGTCACCTTTATTTCCCTAGAAAAGTATAAATTACCATCATAAATACATCTATCACCAGTATAAAAATTAGATTCCCATTTATAAAATAAATATTAAAATAGGCAAAGCAACAGGTACCTCCAAGTCCCATCACCGAGATGATTTGATTCTGTACCACATAAGCTATTCATTCACTAACTGTTTAATTAAAAATAAGGTTTAAAATGCAGTAAATACTGCTACCTACTCAGTGCTTGCATGAAGTGAGTTACTACTGACTCAAAAACTGCAAAGCATTTGTTGTAACACTTACTTGGAATCTTCAGACTAGCCTGTCTGTATAGCTGTAAGTGTAGTGTAATCTGGATATGCTTTCCAGATGGATAGCAGCTACCTGCTTCAAGAGTGTTCCTTACAAGTCACCAGTACAGTAGTTTCAGTTGGTTTACCTGTCTCTATCCTAAGATAAACAAAGTTAATTTTATCCAAGAAGTGCAGAAATCATAGTAGCATCTATGTCACACCTGTACTAACAGATCATTTTCCCCCGTTAATAATGTTAAAAGTCAGATAAATACAGGTTTTGTTTCACAGAAACAAAAAGATGTTCCTTTTCATCAGGTAAAGGACACATAGAATCATGGAATAGTTAGGGTTGGAAAGGACCTTAAGATCATCTAGTTCCAACCCCCCTGCCATCAGCAGGGATTTCTCAAAAGTAGTGTTTTTCCCCTCACAAGTACCATAAATCTTCTGGCTCAGAGAGGCCATACTTTCAGAACAGCTGTACCTGGTCAAGTCAAAGTCAGTGTAGCTCAGAATCCTGTTTCAGACAGGACAACAGAAGGAGCTTGGGAAGAGTGTATGAGCAGGGTCAGGCTACTGCAACAGGTCACCAGAACACTCCTCCAGCTACTAGTGGGCCAGCATTTTTCCTCTGGAGTTTTCATCTGTGACTAACAGATTTCTGAATCCATGGAAAAGTTTGGGCTTCAAAATTCCCATACTGGAGAGGCTGAAAGGCTCTGCCGTATTCCCCAGTGCATGGGTTTTGTTGTTGTTGTTGGTTGGGTTTTTTCTTTGTTTTTGAAGTGCTGTTGAACATCAGTGTTGATAGTAACTTTTTCTTAGACACCATTAAGTGGTTCCTTTTCTCTTGCAGCTTTTGCCTTCTTGCGTTTACAGAGGATCACTGACAGGACAACAGCAGAGGTGATGATTGCAATCACTATCACTGCTATGATGATAAAAAATTCTGCTCCATACTCTGCAGGGGAGAAAAAAACATTAAGATTCAGATACCAGAAGCCATAATGTTACAGTGCTCCAAGTTCTTGGAACCCACTCCACTAAACTAAAACACGTTTGCTGCATGGTAAGTATCACAGGAGTGGAGTGGCTACCTCAGTGTGAACTCAGTTTGTTTTCACCTGAACTTGTTGAACTGAGGTAACTCTTTATTTCACCTGGTGCACACTAGATTTTAATCTAGCTAGTGCACTAAAAATACCACCACAGGAGTAAGCCAAACTATTCCCCTTACACCTGCACTACTTCTGTGAAAGTAAGTCCAAGTAGAAATTTATTCTAGCTTAGAGGCTAGCAAACACTAACAGAGGAGGTTTCTATTCAAGTTGTACTTCATTAGAATTCAACTATTATGATAAACAAAAATATGTATCTCGACAAGAAAGGTCATTTGGGGGAGTTGATTTGCTAATTTTAGGAGAGCTTTTCTAGAGTGCAGATATTCTTAACTGGTGGAGGAGAAAGATACAGTACAGCAATTTAATATTATTTCATCATTACTGATGACTTCACATTGAAGAAAGTGTTACCCAAATTGTTTGTCTGGAATTAGACTGCTCCACCAACCACTCACTAACTTATTTACCAGTAAAGAAGTCAATCTGCCGACCTCTGACTTTGTCATGTAACAGTAAAGAAAGTCTCAGTATCTGCTTTTGAGATAGTAACTAAAGTTCAGTTCAAACAAGGCAATGGTTTCCAGCAGGCCTATGCTTTAGAGCTAAATCCTTCAAGTATTTACTTTGGGACCTGTTATTGGGAAGGATCTGAGGAAAGTGATCAGGAAACAACAAAATGAAGCTGAAGGCTAGTGATGCAATCTGAAACCTCAGTGACTAGTCATCAGCTCATACAATTTAAAAGTAGTTAAAATGGTTGGGCAAAACCCTAAAACCAACCCCAACAGCTAAAGATTATAGACTTCTCCTTAGTATGAGTTCTTCTCATGTTCAGATTTTGTCCTCTCACAGTTTATTCTGTAACAGGCATCACAATTCAAGGAAGTGTAAAAATATGCTCAGAATGGAAGTGAGTTTTTGCTTAAGACTGTATGACAAACTTCACCAGATACCTACCATCTAAGATATTCCTTCCTATACTGGTACAAAGCACCATGCTTTCTTGACCATTGCGTTTTTCTCTGCGGGAGGGAATGATTCCCTGTATGTAGAAGCAATAGTTCTTTGAGCTGTCAACTCTTTCTTCAAATTTATGGCTTTTTGTTATTGCATCTTTCTGTAAAGGAAAAAAATAATCATTACAAGTGTTTTCTGCAGGAATTCAGCACAGGAATTGTGTAGCTGTAATACAGCTACATGTAAAAAGTAGAGTTAGACCTTACCTTCCCAGAACTTTGATCTTTCCAGTAGTAGATCTTGTATTCCAAGTCATTTTGGAAGATATCTCGAATACTTTGAAAGCTTCCGTTAGGAAATGTGTATGGTGTAAGTGGATCTTGGAACACAACATTCAGTTTGGAACCTTTTTGTGTGTAATTCTGTATCTCCGGTTTTCCAATAACAGCTAAAGAAGCATTTTCAGAATTAAAACCTGACATCATCCTTTCTCTGCAACATGCTTTTTATTCTTCCTCCCTCCACTCCTTTTCCTCCTCAAATCTGCTACAAGTTTACAGGGCCAAAGTAATACAGTGAAATCCTAGATTATTAACAAAGATAAAATGGTCTACTCACTGCAGCGAGAAACAAATGGTAACTAAACCCTTACGTACTCCCCTGCAACAGGGAAAGCTTTATGCCTGAATTTCTCCATCTCAGGTAGCAGTATCGCTACTGTAAGAATCTACAGGAAAAAAAACCTTTTGGCCCAATCCCAACCTCGGTTGAGTCAATGGAAGTAATCTTGAAAGGAAGTTTCTGGCAAGATTTAGTCCTACTTACTTTGACTATAAGGTGTAAATTTTTCAGAGACTGCAAAAGGTGGTTCTTCAAAGTTATCCATCCCCGAGGATGCTACAGACAGGATGTGTGCTGTGTAGGTCTCTCTCACATTCCTGAGCAGGTCAGTGACATCACACTCTGTTTCTGCTGTCAGTATGCATTTCTTTCTGGTGTCAGATGTCTGTCTGAAAAGAGCAAGAAAGAAGCGTCAGCACTTTCCAACCAGCCTTTCACATATTCAGATAATTTAAAACACACTTTCCCCCCCTCAAACTATAGATTTCTCTTATTCACTGGATAAGTAGATGTACTGAAGGAGAGGAAAAAAAGTCCAAACCCACTATCCTATACAACTATCTTTTATAATTCAAAGTACAATCAAGTAGATAAAATGGGATCCATATTAAAAATTCAATCTTTTATATGAATTTAACAGAAACCATAAGTAGTTCTGAGTTTTTGGTTTGGTTTTCTTTTGCAGTTGACTTATTTAAATTAAACCCCATAAGATGTATAAAGCACTTTGAGAGTGTTATCCCTGATGCATCTGAAAACTATTGCCTTAAGAAACATCAGTTATCCTAGGAAGCTCTGTTGACACCATTGTTTAATGTCTCCTTGTGTATGTCACTTGGGTTTGCATTTATGCAGGTGCAAATGACACTAAGAAACAGACAGTAACAGCAATTTTCACTGCAGACTTAGAATATGGGCAAAACCCATGATCCCTGCACTTCTCTTGCTTTTTAAATTATAGGAACTGGATCTTTTACTTGAGAAATGAGAATGAAACCAGGAAAAAACGTTACTTCCCCATTTTACTCCCTAATAAGAAGGAATGAAAAAACAGATTAGGTATTACTACTTCAGTTCTTGTCCTAGATTTTGCTGGTGAACTAAGGAAAATTCAAGCTGTGTGATCTCAGCTGACAGAGCAAGAGTGCCAGCTCTTTGGGAATTCACAACTGAGTTTTCCTCCAAGTAGGTAAAGTTATACTGAAAAGTCATATGAACTCCCTTCTCACTTCACCAGATTTCTTATGGTGTTACAGATCAGTTAGTGACAGTGTCCTGGAGGTGCCTTGAAAAGGGACAGGGGGGATTGGATCTTTGGGATCAAACAAATGTACTCTGCAATCGCACGTAGATGGGAAAACAAATATTTAAGCACACTTCATCTGTAAGAGCACCTTGTCTGAAGAAGTGCCTCTGTATCAGAACTATACCCAGTCCCATACTGCACCTTGGACAAACAGACTTCAATTTTTTGCAGGCTCAAGTTGCTGGAAAGAAACTCCAGATTCATAAATTTCATAAAATTCATTCTGTGTCTGCTTTTAAGTCTATTAATTTAATCACTCCCTTAAAGAATTAATGAGCACATTAGGCCATTGAACTAATATTTCATCCATTAGTCATGAAAGCACTCTCATTTCTATGCCCCTTTTAAAGACTACATGGTTATTTTCACTATGATGTAGGAGAGTTGATGATGCAGTTTCCCCTTAAGGCATGTTTAATAATGAGATGTGAATTAATATGGGAGCTAAGAACAGCAGAGATTTATTATTGAAATTCATGGAAGTTTTTGTGCAGTATTGAAAGAGTAGCACGTAAGGTGGCTACTTTCTATGTACACAATATTTCAGAGCTTACATAAAACATGATTACAGAGGAAGTCTCAACAGAGGTAGGCAAACAAAGGTGACTTTTAGTATTACCCAGCGAGACAAATTATTCATTGACTATGATTCAACAATTAGAATAAAATGTAGACTCATATTTATCACACACCTCCTAAGACCAAAGATGAAACACTCATTCCAGCTACCCTGGAAGACACAAAAAGATGGAAGTTCTGTCTAAAACATAGTATGTAAGACTGAGAGTTAACTTCTTCAAAGTACCCTAGCCTAAATCTCCAGTGCAGCTTGCCTGCACCAAACCCCAGAACTGAAATACTAATCTAAAGCTCAACTCTCCATTTCTGAAGCGGGTGAAACCAGAAGCCTGAAACAGATATTCTTGTAATCGGATACAAAGAAGTATTAACAGATAGGTTGGCAGTTTTCCTAAATCCTCATGTTTGGGCTCTTTTCTTGTTACATTCAATCTCCAAAATATCCACACACTCTGTTTTCATTGTCTTCAACTGCCATTAATGGACACATCTTGGTGTTATCTACTTACCCATGGATTTCTACTGTATAGAGGTAACCTGATGGTTTTGGCTGCCACTGCAGTATAGTTTTAAAATTGATTGAAGACCAAGTTATATTAACTGCTGTTGGTAGTTCTGGATTGCCTTTAAATACAGAAAAGAGTGCCATCAGTCATATTGGATGTATATCCTGGTTCCCTGCAGTCTCTGTTTACTTAAATGAAACAGTTGCTCTTAATTGCTACTTGGAAAAGTTCTTTTTGGGGAAAAGGCTTGGTCCTGCCCTCTGGGCTCATTCTCCTCTTACTAAAGGAATGCGTCCTGGCAGAAGCAAGAAATGGGAGAAGAAAATAATTTCCCCTCTTCTGACTCTGAAGATCTGAGGTAACTTATCTGGAGTTCTGTCTAATGCTTGCTTTTTGAACTGAGACCTCAGAAGAAGCTACAGAAGCTTGAAGAAACGCAAGTACTATGTCCAGGTCTAGGCCCCTCATTGAGGTGCTGGAGCAGGGCCAGAGAAGGGCAATGGAGCTGGTGCAGGGCCTAGAGCACAAGTGTGATGGGGAATGGCTGAGGGACCTGGGGGGTTCAGTCTGGAGCACAGAAGGCTCAGGGGGGACCTGATCGCTCCCTACAACTGCCTGACAGGAGGATGGAGCCAGGAGGGGCTGGGCTCCGCTCCCAAGGAGCAAGGGATGGGGCAAGAGGAAACGGCCTCAAGCTGCACCAGGGCAGGTTTAGATGGAGCTGAGGAACAATTCCTTCCCCAGACGGTGCTCAGGCATTGGAACAGGCTGCCCAGGGCAGTGCTGGAGTCACCGTCCCTGCAAGTGTTCACACACCGTGGAGACGAGGCCTCAGTGCCATGGGTTAGTGGTGGCCTTGGCAGTGCTGGGAGTGGTCAGGCTGGATCATCTTAAAGATCTTTTCCAACTGAAGTGATTCTATGATTCTATGAGCACGAAGTACCAAACCAATGTGGTGTGGTTCAAACTCATCCCTGGCTGTATCTGCTGCAGAAGGCCTTAGCTAGTACTTTCCCTATTTATTTATTTGGGGAAGATAAAGTCTTTAATAACCAGTGGCTGCCCTGCAGTTCCTTGTGAGAGGGGCTCCCCGCACATGAGCTCAGTGGCAGGCTGAGGTGCAAGGGAAGATGCCGCAGCCGCTGCAGTGAACTGCCTGTGAGGAAGCCCAAGTGGAAAGCCCCGCACAATCTCTGTAACCTCTGGAAATCTATCCTTTCCCTGAGCCAGATCCTATTATCTAAACACCATCTTCTCTGCCTCAACAACCTCGGCGCTGGGGACGAGGGGAAGAAGATCTCGTAGATCTCATTACTGCAGGTCAGCAGGTCCCTGCAGGAGACCCCTGAGGCTCCCCAGCACCGGCCCGGCCATGGTTATGAAGGACCTTCCCCTCAGCAGACACCATCCCGCGGCGACCAGAACGATCCGGTGCTGAAGCGGAGCCGGGGCCCGCCGGCAGTGGCGCTTGCCAGCCTGATGTCCCGCGCCCGGCAGCAGCTGCCCCCTCACCACAGCCACCGTTGCGGGGCGGCTCTGCCTGCCGTCTGGCCTCTCCCCATTCGAAGGACCGAGCACCGCCGCCTTGTCCACCCCCCCGAGCCAACGCCAGCGTCCCGCCCACCGTTACCCACCGGCGGCAGCCAGGCTCCATAGCAGGGCGCTCAGCAGCAGGGCCGGTCCTCCGGCGGCGGCGGCGGCGGGCAGCATCCTCGGGTAGCAATCTGACAGTGTCCCGGCAAGGCTGAAATCTGTGAGCTGCTGGCGGGGCGGTGACTTATATCTGTGTGAGGAGAGGCGGGGACTGCAGCCCGGCGAGGGAGGGAGGCGGTGGGAGCGGCGGGGTGGCCGGGGTCATGAGGAGCGGGGCTGGCGGAAGCGCTTAGGCATGGCCGCGTTGAGCAAGCGGAGCAGGGGATTTTCGAGGAAACCGGAGTTGCTGTAAGGAGAGGGGCACTGGGCACGTCTCCCGGGCGGCTCCAGCCCTGGCACCGTGTCCCCGGGCGCAGCGCACCTGGACACAGTCGCAGTCCGCCTTCTCGGTATGCCCATACACTTGTACCAGCGCTCCCTGCCCCCTCTGTTAGCCAGAGAACGGAATACTGGTGAAGCTGGTCAATACTTGGTAACCAGGTTCACCCCCTTTGGCTGGTTGTGAAGGGCGAGGGGGGCTAGCACCATCCCGGCTTGGAAATGAGTGCTCTGGAGGGCAGCTGGTCCTGTGAAGGTGATATTGGGACTCAGCTAACTGAGGTCCTGGAAGTTCTGAAAGGCTAAATATGTCAGTTCTTGCCTCACCATGCAATCTGTTTGACACAAGCATGCAGTTGTGTCCTCTGTTCTCTAACTCCATGCAGACACGTACATGAATCCTGTCAAACCTCATCTGTCATAAATCATAGAATCAGCTACTTTGGAAAAGACCTTTTTAGAGTCATGAGGTTCAACCTTTACCCCAGGACTGACAAGTCCACCACTAAACCATGTCACCGAGGGCCTCAGCTCTGGGCCTCTCACTGCAAGAGAGACATTGAGGTGCTGGAGTGGGGCCAGAGAAGAGCAACGGAGCTGGTGCAGGGCCTGGAGCACAAGTGTGATGGGGAACGGCTGAGGGACCTGGGGGGTTCAGTGGGGAAGAGAAGGCTCAGGGGGGATCTGATCGCTCCCTACAACTGCCTGACAGGAGATTGTAGTGGGGTGGGGTCAGTCTCTGCTCCCAAGACAACAAATAAGGTTCAAAGTTTCAGGGGCTTATACCTCACCATGAAGCAGGGGCATGTTAACCCTTTCCCTACAAGCTTGCATTGGAAAGGTGTGTCTTTTCCACAGGTAACAGGGAATCTGTGTGGGACACAAGCTTGTTTTGAATCTCAGCCAGCAGCCTTTGCCACAGGCTCCCTGGCCTCTCTGGTGTACGCATTACTCTTTCTCACAGTGCTGCCTTTCTAAGCGCTTTAAGCTTTTGGAGCGTGGGTTTGTGTGCTGTGTTCTCGTCTAATACTCGAGCTCTAGAGGGAGCTCCGTTCGCACTCAGCTAATAGTGATTCATTCTGTGGGGAAGATGGGAAGCAGCCTGTATGGTACAACCTGTAATATAATTAAGGGGAATAGATGCATTTACAGTGTTAAGCTTACTTTTTCTTTTTTTTGGGGGGGGGGGGCTGTTTTGTACAATGTTTTGTACCTGGAAAATACAAGTAGGAGGTGAAGACTAACAGGGAAGTTTTAATTGCCTTTAATATTCACGATTAACACATATGCAAACAAGCAGTTCTGTCTCATAATGCAGAATAAATACATATAGACCAAATGACAATATCCATTTCAGTCACAAACTGCTCTAGGATTCCTATGGAGTGTTCCAGGGTGTAACTAAACCCTGCATTTTTTATATCAGTATAATTTACTAAAATCCAGCCTTCTAATTTTCTTGCCTTGCTTTTGATTAAACTTCACTGTCTCTGTGCAGCTGTCTGTCAGCATTACATCAGTCAGAAACCTTGCATGCTTTTAACTCTGTGTAGAGTACAAATCTTGTGTGACTAGATTTTCAAGATGGTGATCATATAAGATCACAGTCGATTTCCAGAGGACTTTCCAAAGTGAAACATTATTCACTTGTTTAAAGAAAGTAGGTGCTTATAAAGAACTTTAAACCAGCTTTTGGCTCTAATTCCAGTTAATTTTCTTGGAGTTCTGTCACAAAAGATGGAAAGAAGGTCAGTGGTGATTTCCAGCTTTTATGGAGATCTTAGTATCCCCTTCTCCTGCCTATCCTCATTCTCACCTCTTCTGTCATGAGCTCTCATACTTGATATAGGTGGGGAGCCCTCCAAACCCTGTCCGGACTAACCAGCTTGACCCGTATTGCCTTACTCCAGTTTCCACCAAGCTATTTCATTGTTCCTTATCACTAGGCTTTTAGATGAGGCATGGGTGATGGCAGCCACAGTTTGAGTGGTGAGAAGCAGAGCCTGAGCAAAAGGATGTGCATGCATCGAGGAATCAAGCAGACCTTGGGGAGCATTGCATGGTTAGAGGAAATAGGGTAACTTTATCAAGCTAGCCATTTTGAGGGAAGGAAGTCAAGGGAAAATCTGAATGCCAGGAGAAAGAGCATGCCCAGGGGACAGTGTAGCTAGATCAGATAGGCAGGGGAAGGGTGTGCTGGTCAAGAGAGAAGCACACAGGTGAGGAACTGCTGCTGTTGCTGCTGCCTCTGCTCTTCTTCTTTTTCACTAAGTCTTGGTGCAGACTGGACCAAAGAACAGCGTCAGCACTGCCTGACTCAAGGCACCATCCAGTGCAGGAGAGGAGAGGAACCCCGTGCTGCCTAACATGGGCTGATGCCTCTGAGCTGGATGCCTGCTTGGCAGCTAATGACTTAAGTGTGACATGCTGGTCACATTTGCTGCCCACTTCACTGGTATTTCAAGAGCTCATTTAAGATAGACATTTTCCCCCTTATTTCAAATATATGTTGATACATGCAGGCAAGCATTTTACTGACTTAGAGCTCTGCCAATTTCTCTAGAAATTTAGAATTTAGCTTCCATAGTGGAATGTCAAAATGTGGGCATCGACTCTGTACATGTCTCTGATTTAGTCATCTTCTGCTCATTTTACTGTCAGCAGAGAAAAACTTCATTTCTGAGGTAAAATCCATATTTTCCTATTATAGACATTTTAAGTCAGATTAATCTATTTAAATATTGAAATAAATGTGACATTTCCATTGACAGAGGCCAGGATCTTACTATGACTTTTTAGAATATGTGAGAGCACAAGCCTGGCTGCATGCTTTAGGTTAGAAGATGACTTCTCTCTATGACTTCTTCACTCTGGTGGACTCTGTGGAATCAAGCTTGTTCACCATCAGGAAGGTTTGTCAGATTACAAGGAGATTCTACACATTTTCTTTCTGTGAGAAGTATACCATGGAATCAACCTACACATTGATGATGGTAGAAGTGAGGGGAAAAGCCAAACTAACCCTGCAAAACTCCATTTCTTTGCAAAGAGATGCATGCATTTATTTTTATCAAGCGAGCTGCCAGATAGCTAAACTTTGTGTGAGCTATCTGTTTACTAGGTTACTGCTTAGCAAAGCAATTTCAACATAGTGTTTTCTATACTATCGTATATAATTGTTGACGTAGAACTGGAATGCCTCAGGTGACATCAGTGACAGATTGGTTTCCTTATGCTTATAGTTTTGCAAGATGGTAAGTAAAATTTTGTAATGCTAGTGTTTTGAAAGTTTATAGGGCTATAACCATCCATCTTTCCATGCTAATATAAAATCAATGATCTTATCATGCCCAGTAATGTGAATTTACTTGTGTGAGAAAGATCTGAAACCCCTGGGAGCTTTTTCCAAAGTGAAATTGTTCCTGTTCTCTCTCCTTTCATTTGGCTTATCAGATCTTTGTTTAATTTCTCTCAGTGACCCATATGTTGTGTAATTAATTTACTTATATAATTAATTATAGTTAGTGAGAATAACAAGCTTAGGGAAGCAATCTCTAACTTAGTACCCACTTCTATAAATACCTTAAAAGTAGAATAATACAAAAATATCTGAAATAATATAAAAATAGATTAAAAATCAATATTTTATAAATTTATCTTGCAGCACTACTGTATCAAATATTGTGTTATAAGTGCATATGCAGACTCAGAAATACCCCTGTCTTCTAAACATTGTATTTTAGCCATACTATAATTAATATATTTGGTAAATGAAACCATTTACCATATTGGTAGAATATATTTGTATGTAGTGCTAGTAAATAGGCTGTGAAATTCAATAATATACAGTGTCTACCCAGAATAGGTCTTTGTTCTTTCAATCTTTTTCAGTTCCAACTAATTCTTAAAAAGGAAAAGGGTTTTCAAAAGTCTTGAGATGAGAGCAAGTTTAAGTCAACACTTTCTGCCTGTGCATGTAAATGTTTTAAAATCAATCAATTTAAATGATATACATCCCATGGGTTTCATTGCACTAATTTTTTACATAGGGTGGAAATGGTATTCACCCAACTCTGCTATGGATATGCCAAAAGTCTGTGGTGAAGTCAGGAATGTACAGAGTTTTGATTTTATACTACTCTGCTCTTGTGTCATAATCACAGAATTATGATTCTCTTTGTGTAAGCAAAGAAAAAAAATCTGCATATGGAAAGTCTCTATGAAAGATAAAGGAAAATGATAGCAAATTAAATTCAGTACGCAGATACTTCATGAATCTGTAAAAGCTGAATAATGTGTTCGTACTGATGTTCTGCACAAAGGTATGGAGGGTGGAATTGAGATCTAGTGTGAGTTCTCAAAAGTTAGTCCAGTCACTTAGAAGTTCTGCAGTGCACGCTGGTTGTTGCTGGGCTATTTTTATAGCTGTTAAATAGCTGCATCTCACCTAATCAGAATGTGAATTGTAGGTGGTGATTGCACCAAAGAACATGAAGTCAGAGACTACAAAAAGAGCTTATCTAAAAATTGCTATATTGACAAAGTTTGTATAACAGTATTTGTAATAAAGAGGATTTGTATAATGTTGTAAAAGTGGTTAACAAGTCCCCTTTTTGATGCATGGAAACTGAATCAGTGTAACTTTACCGACCCTTGTGGTAAGAGATGTAAGTAAACTAGTGTAATCGAGTGAAGAATCAACTTTTATACCTAAAAGTAGGTCCTGTGAAGTCTCCACTGTAAAGAAAGTCCCTTGTGTAAAT